ATCTCTCCATCATTCGACTGGGCTATAATTTCCCTTAAGCACGAATCACGCTGCTGCTCAGCTACAAGCCAGTTGTCTGTCACCTCTTTCAGATCGATGCGAACTTCGGGTATCCTATTCATTGTCTCACATTCAGTGCCAATCGGATTTCTGGATAAGAAGTTCACGTGCGCCATGCCCTTTTCATTGCGGTACTCCACAGGGAACACAAATGATGGCAAATATGTCAACGGTGTACTCTCGGCCTTAGTTCTACTTTGGTTCGACTTGCTTTCAATGAATTACAATCTGTAAATACTAGAAACTTTCGACCATGAAGGCAATGGCGGAAATTTTTTACAGCGTTGTATGCTGCGAGAGTCTCTAGCTCGTAAGAATGATACCTCGATTCTGGGGGCGATGTCCATTTGCTAAAATATTCGATCCCTCTAGGCTTGCCGTCTATTTTGTGCATATGAATGGCACCATAGCCACTTGCACTTGCATCTGTATGCATCTCTATGGGATATTATCGAAGATAATTGAAATCGGATCATGAGTTAGTACTGAGATAATCTTCTGACGTATTTCTTCATGCTCTGACTTCCAAACGAAGCTACTATTTTTGGAAGTCAACTGATACAACGGTTTCTTTGATTTTATCTATTACTATTTCTTTTTCATCTGCGCCAAGTCGATATGGGCGTCTCTGCACAGTCTTCTTGGCATACAATAAACGTATTTCTAATTCTCCAGTCGTGACACGTCTGCTCGGTATTCCAATAATAAAATGTTCAGTGCATGGACTAATAATGTTCTTCAATTTAAACTTATCATTATCACTTAAATCATAATTTTTATCAAATTATAATAGGTTTTCATCAGATATTGAATAGACTCATTTAGCATTTGCACCAATTCCTTTTAGAATGACTAAATTATTTTTCTTTTTCCGGTGAATTTTTCTGCTAGCTTTGCCTTTATTAAGGAACACTCCGCACACGAGTCGACAAAGAATGGAAAGGCCTCACCAAAAATAAAATTCCTTGGGCTCCAACACTGCACAGACATCTACTCGCTTCTCGTTCATACTGCTACGCGACGCTGCTGTTCCCTTCATACATGCGTATGTAATATGAGGGACGACTCTACTTTTAAAGTCCCGCCAGTGGTTTTCCAAACGGTTGACTTGCTATTGATTGTTCTGCCTTCCTCTTACGCCATTCTTGCATTTTGTGTCCTTTCCACATGGTAGGAATGGATATCTTTGTTTACGGTGGAATGAATATCCTTTCAATTTTTGACGCGTAGTTTAATTTTTAGATTGTTAGTCAAGTTAAAGAAAAATCGGTTTCATACATTATTAAAGAACTCAGAAAGACTTTTAATAAATATGGTAACCCATCAAAGTTAAAGTGTGACAACAGCCCAATTAAATATTTTATGTTCAGATCTTTTTCCAATGAGTGTAATGCAGCATAGCAGTTCCCAAGCGCTACACATCCTCAGAGCAATGGATTGGCAAAAAAGGAGTATTAATCCCAAAGTATATCACAAGTCAATATAGGATCCTTGAATACAGTAGAAAATTTGAATCTAGCCCCATCCGAATTATTCTTTGGAAGAATGTGCAAGACAAAATTGCAAATAAGAAGACTATTATATAAAAATATAATTATTGAAGAAATAATCTCAAAAAAAGAGAAACCAAAACTCTATTACGACATGCACTGACTATGACTATTTTTATAATTATATAACATAAGTGACGAAAACAAATTCCAAAAACTAATATTAATTTAAGACAACCAGAAAACAATGTTAGATTAAGGGAAACTCAAAATATAATTAATGAATGTATTGAAAACTAATTACATGGTAAAGAAAATTAAAAGAGGAAATTGTCGACGTAACTGAAAACACTATTGTCAATGAGGGTAGATGTGATATATCTGATTATAAAAGAGCAGGCAGCTTGCGCCGAGAGGACGAGACTAAAATAGGAACCCAGACCCATATTTCGCGATCTGGAAGATCCATAAAGCCTTCTCAATGATACGGATGAGTTTAAACATAAACCAAATCAAAAGCGTGTAATAATGGTGGTAATTAAGTATTTTTATAGTTTCCTATGTATATTTAAATAATGTCGGTTATCGAAGAATGGTCACATTGGTAGCGACTCGGCCCAATCTAATTTTTGAAGCCTCAGCGCCTGTAAAAGCATTTTTGGCTTTGTGACCAAAGGACACAATAGGGCAAATGAATCGAAAATCCGCGCTGTCACCGAGAGTATGTTTCGTTTTGTCGCACAAAGTTCCAGGAAAGAGTAAAAAATCTTTTTCAGGTAACCAAACCACTCCAAGGGTTTTAGTTACATTTGACTCCGCCGATTAAGGCATAACAGCGCTCTCAGATACGGAGATCTCTGCGCAGTTTGAAAACCACTTGGGCAATTCAAAACCTGCCTCTTTCAAAACAGGAGAAACTTCATCACGAAGGCTTTGAAGGTTCTCAACGCTTCCGGCGCCTGTCAACAGATCGTCAACATAGAAATCTTTCTGAATGACCTTCAGAGCATCTGGATACATAGCTTGCTCCATCTCTCCAAGCTGCATTAAACACCGGATCGCCATAAACGGAGCTGGCGAAGTTCCATATGTTACGGTATTCAAATTAAAGATCTTGAGAGACTCGGAAGGATCTCGCCTCCACACTATGAGCTGGAAGTTTCGGTCAGCTTCGTCGACCATCACTTGGCGGTACATCTTTTTAATGTCCGCTGCAAGGGCAAACTTGTGTATTCTGAACCGAAGCAGCGTAGAATAGAGCTCCTCTTGAACAGTGGGGCCTACCATCAAGTGGGTCATCTGGAATTTTATTATTAGTAGAGGGCATGTGGTCCATTGATAAATATTCCTCTATGAAACCCAGATATATATGCCTTAACGAAGGATCTTTTGACAATCTCCTTTCAAGCGACAAAAATCTACGTTTCGCAACTTAATATTTGAACGGCAGACGAACAGAAAATCTCCCATACGACAGCCTTTGAGTATTTCTCCCAAAGTGTTGTTGACCAAGTTGCTCAGGTGTAGCGTTAGGCGTCCTTCACAGACCAAAATTTCAGCAGGGTGGTGTCGATTGATTCCAACGCTTCTTCCTGACAGCTGAGATGTACCGAATTTTCTGCCTCTGTTTTGTTTTCCGAGGTACATCTCTCTGACACCATCCAGCCGAGGACAGTTTTTGTAAAATGGGGAGTTCAGGCCCCTGCTTTATCTGCTCAACAGATAGAATTTCAAAGAATGAATCTGTACCGATAAGCATGTCAATTTTTTGCAGCTTGCAGAATAATGGATCTGCCAATTGAATATTTTCGGGTACCCTCCACACCCTGGTGCTCACAGCTTGAACCGGATGATAACCAGAAATATTTTTTAAAACATAAAAATCGGACAACTGACTGCTTCCTATTCGCATCTTTACTAATGGGTGTATTTTTTTGATGCTTGAGCACTAGTTTCACCAATGCCCCTGGCAGCGAGCAACAAAAAACTTGTATTTCCACTCTTCGGGAACTTATTGCTAGGCTGAACATTTGCTGGAACCTTTTTGGAGGATTGAAAAGTGTCGATATATTGTCGAAGAAAATCAGACAATCATTATCGTGCACCTGCTTCAGGCTAGCCAGGGCTTTCTGGTAATTAACCGCAGTGACTTGGAACGCCTTGACTGTGCCTAAAGCGTCGCCATCCAGACAAGATATCAAGTGATTGAATTTTTCAATATCGTGAAGAGTGTCATCTTTGTCGACAAATGTTTCGAAAAGGCTTATAAAATTTTTAAATTAGGAGTGTTTCCGCTGAAGTTTGGAAGAGGAAAGCTCGGCAATCACCGGCGTAGCAGCATTATAGGCGCTCATACGCCTGCCTTTGCTAATTAGCGAAATCAGTAATGATTTTGCCATTACGGCAGTTTCTTCCGGAACAAATGCTTTGTGTCTATTGCTTCGATTTGATTCTGAATCAAAGAAGCATTTTCGATGTGCGAGTTTAAAATTTCTAATTGACATTCTAATTCGACTGTGTTCGGGATATACTCTTTATTTTTCCATCTCGTTAATTTTTAAGCGTTTCGATATCTTTGCTCGCTATGTTATCGTTTACTAATTTTTTTTAAGAATCGAAGAGTGTGTTAAAAAAATTATTTTAATTCGGAATTAAAAAATAAACGAGTGGTATATTCCGAACGTAGGCAACCAGGGGACTTGTCGATAAATTTTCGAAAAGAAAAAAAATGAATATATTTTATTTTTTTAATTTCTTCGGCACTAATACGCCGCCACAAAATTTAAAGGGTAGCTCAAGCTCCTCCAAAATACCGAAAACAATTCGAAAAACAACAACAACGCCAATGACCGAAACGATGATGCAAAGAGAGGTCGAAAGAACTGGCATCGATATCAGTGCGAGAGTGTGTAGTGTGGTATTCGGCCGGTGGCTCTCTCCTTCATATGTAACGACACTTAGCGGAAAATGATGCACTGGCCGATAAATAAAGGACAACGAATATATAAGCGTGATGAAAAGTCCCAAGAAAATAGTGTTGAGGCTTGGAAAATGGCGGACACGGGGCAAATTTAGGACAGAAAATGCGCGCAAAAATGTCCCGCAATTTTCTTCGAGCAACAAGTTACAGAAAAAAAAAGAAAACAAAAAAATCACTTTTTCCTGTCCTGAAACTGAACCCTAAATTGGTTATCACTACGATATGTTAAAATATTAAAACACAATTTGGGTCCACTACGAAATTAAATTTAACACCCAAAGCGATTCACTTTTTTATCTTAATATTTATTTTCCAGGTATAATAAATATAAAATAATTTGTTCGTGCGTTCGAATTTTTATTTGTGTTAAATTATGTGTTAAATGCTCACTATCTACCGATTTTAATGGATGGCCGAAATTATTTAGAAAAAATGTCACAGATTAACTTCCAACTTTAAACATTCTATACCTGTATAGACGATTCTGTCCGCTCAGCAACTTCTCTCTTTGGCTCCATGTATCGTCTTTTGATCGGGCTTCTGGTCTTCTGGCTGCTGCTGCTTAATTTTGACCGAGGCGAAGGTTTATTAAACACAATAAATTTAAATCACTTCCGAAAACAACGCCTGCAAATCACGTCGGGGTCACCATGAAGATTTAATAAGAGTTTTTATTAATTTAAATTTTTGAAATGGTGGGTTTTTATTTATGACTTCGAAATTGAATTTAATGTGACAAAAGCGCACGGCGCGTACAAACGAAAGGGAGTTTCGATGCTAAATAATTTATATGACTTACATTATCTTTCAAACGTGTTTAAAATCATGTTCCTCAAAACTTTCTCTTAAAATTTATATTCATGATCAGTATCAATATCGACGTCCTTTCTGTCTGTATGAACGTTGAGATCTCAGGAACTATAAGAGATACAGCGTTGAGATTAAAAAAAATTCGGAAATCTCCAGAGCTATTATAGCTAGAATGTTAGAATTAAGAATGTATGATCTTGAGATTCCAGATCATCTAATTGTGGTATCACACACAATACACACAATACCGCACTCACTCTTACGCCCATCCAGCCCAAAATAGGGTTTTCGCTTCTTGCAGAAAAGCTGATATCTCAGTAACTATATCTATCATGTAGTTTTTGATGATGCGCCAAATGCGAATTGTTTTTTCCATCTAGTCACGCCCACAAAACCTGGAAAACCAAAAATTTGAAAACCTCGGTAACTATAAGAGCTAGAAAGTTAGGCTTAGGAATACGTATTTTAGAGAGGCCACTGCAGCTCGAAACGAGCTTTCATAAGGCCTTGCTCACAACCGCGGAAAACTATGGCGTCCATTATATTATAGTCTTCGTTTGACATTATATATTTTTTTCAATATCTATCGAATTACCGAAGATTGTTCAAATCGGAACATTATGTCGCTATATATGAAGATATGTATAAGGCCTCAGATGAACAGTGACGTCACCATCTGTTAGTAAACATGCTTTTCTGACAAAACATTTCCAACAGCAAAATGAATATTTTAAATTTATATAAACAGTAACGGGTATCTTATAGTCCCAGGACTCGCCTAAAGCATTTCTTCTTGTTTTTGCTTATATTTGGTGAAAGTGATTTATTGGTTTTACTTTGCTTGTGTTTGGAGGAAGTGATGAGTTAGTGAACCGTTCAGAACGCATTTCCCTTTTATGGTTTATAATAATTTTAATATTGTAAAGAGTTAAGATATTTCCTTGCTAGCATCTAAGAAATGTATTTCTCAGAATCTCCCTCGAAAGTCAAAAGATCCCTTACGCAATCCGGTACAGCGAAAGATAGAAATGGATTACTATTCTGAAGTTAAATTGGAATTAGTACTTGTATGGTAATTTTTGTTTGGGCGTTGTGCGTTTTTTCCTTTTTTTCATTTTGTAAATTCGTGTTTTTATACCCGTTATTCGGAGAGTAAATGGGTATACTAGATTCGTTGAAAAGTATGAAATAGATAGAAGGAAGCCTTTCCGACCCTATAAAGGATCAAAATCGAAGTCGTGAAGATTCTTGAGGTCCCTGGATAGCGCAAGTTTATTTCAGCATCCTGCCGCGACCACTCTAACGCCCACAAATCACGAAAAACTAAAAAATCTCGGGAACTATTAGAGCGAGAGAGTTGAAATTCAGAATGTATAATCTTTGGATGCCAGCGCACCTTATAGTGGTACTATTATCCGGCCACACCTACATTGTTTTTTCCGATCAAGCCACGCCCTCTCTAAGTCCTACAAAACCCGAAAAAAACAAGATGGGAAAATCTCGGGAACTATAAGAGTTAGAAAAGTGTGCTTAAGAATTCATCCGGCCACGCCCACTCTAACGCCCACAAACCGCGGAAAACTGTCGCGTCCATAATATAATAGTGTACGTTTTCGTTTGACTTTTATAACATATTTTTGTCAATATCTATCGATTTAACAAAGATTTTTCAAATCGGAACATTATTACGCTATTTAGTAAGAAATGTAAGTTATAAAGCCTCACATGGGCAGTGACGTCACTATCAGTTACTAAACATTCTTTCTCCGGCAATAGGTGGCGCTTCGGGATTTTTCCCCTATTTTGTGGGCGTGGCTAGATGAGAATAATTTGCATTGGGGGTATCATAAACAAGAGGAAACGCTATAGTCGAGTGCCGCGACTATAAGATACCCGTTACTGTTTTACACAATTTTAAAATATTAATTTTGCCAGTGGAAATTACCCAAGCGCCACCTATTGTCGGAGAAAGCATGTCGAGTAACTGATAGCGACGTCACTGCCCATGTGAGGCCTTATAACCTAAATTTCTCCATAAGTAGCGAAATAATGTTCTGATTTGAAAAATCTTTGGTAAATCGATAGATATAAACAGAAATAAGTTATACAACGTCAAACGAAGGCATTCATAATATTATTATAGACGCCACAGTGTTCCTCGGTTTGTAGGCGTTAGAGTGGGCGTGGCCGTATGCAACTTCGTGACAAGTTGCAGAGGCATCTCTTAAATACGTGTTCCTAACAAAATTTTGTAGCTTTTATAGTTTTCGAGATTTTTGCCTTTTTGGTTTTTCGGGTTTTGTGGGCGTTAGGGTAGGCGTGCTTAATCCAAACTTTCTATCTCTTATAGTTACCGAGATATCAGCTTTTCTAGAAAATCTGAAAACCGTCTTTTGAGCCTTGTGGGCGTATGGGTGGGTGTGGCCGAATAGTAGTACCACTATAAGATGCGCTGGCATCTAAAGATTATACTTTCTGAATTTCAACTTTTTATCTCCAATAGTTCCTGAGATTTCAGCTATTTTAGTTTTTGCGATTTGTGGGTAATAAACTTGCTGTAATAAACTTGCGCTGCGTAGGGACCTCAAGATTCTTCATGGTTATTTATTTATTTATTTAACAAAATTACAATACTAAATCTAATACATTTCTTAAAGAGAACTAGCTGCTAGGGCCTAGGACTCGAGATAAAATTATTAAATTAAAGATACTTAAATATTTAGGTTGGTTCTAATGACAAAATGGTAAAAGTTCATAATGGTTTCTTGTGAAATTATATTTAAACTATCGGAGGGTTTTTTCTGGCCGAAGATCAGGGCCCTGACGCTCTCCAGAAGACGGCATGAGTTGAGTAGATGGTCAATTTCGAGGTGTTTGCCGCAACGGCAGACGGGACGTGGTGTTCCAGTAAGGATATATTCGTGTGTTGCACGGGTGTGCCGGATACGAAGGCGGATGAATGTTGAACATGCCCGCTTTCCAAGGTGCCCAGGCAGAGAAATTTTTGTGAAGGTATTGTTGATGGAAAAATATCGGTGGTCATATAGGTCCCATTCTCTGAATTGTTTGTCCTTAAGGTGGAGACGGATACGATTTCTTAAGTCCTTGTTGTTGAAAGGAGTAAAAAGAAAGGATGGTTTAGCCGCATGTCCTTTGCGGCCTGGTCTGCTAGTTCGTTACCATGGTGGCTGGGCGTCCATACAAGGGTTATATTATTAAAAGAAGAAAGCCGTCTTATCTCCACGATTGTGGGATCGGTTTGACCCCAATTCCGTAAAGAAGATAAGGTGGAAAGGCTATCGGTACAGATTACAAAGTGTCCCGAGTGTTTGGTGGCAAAGAGACAGGCTTGTAATATGGCGAAGGCTTCCGCAGTAAAGATGGAGTTGTAAGGGGGTAGCATTCCACCCGAGATTATTTTGCCATTGCTGTCAACAACAGCAAAGGTAGTGTCGTCGTCTGTTTTTGATTCATCGGTGTAGAGCCAAGATTTTGTGCCGAGTTTTTCTTGCAGGCATCGAAAGCGGGTCTGGAATTTTTTGTTAAATGCATTTTGCAAATGAGCTGCATAGTCATTTCTTCTCTGCGAGCCTGAATGCTCGGTAGGCCCGACTCAGCCAAAATGCATGCGGTGGGTGAGGTAGGAAAAGCGTTTATAGCACGTCGGATTGCACCATGGTATGGAGCCAGCATCTTGTTTAAGTGTGATTTTGGACACCAGCCGTAAATAGGTAGACCGTAATCTATTTTGGAGAGCATCAGGGCACGAGTAATTCCTATTAGTGTATTAATATGGATGTTAGTATATTTGGACGACAAAAATTTTATAATGTTAAATCTGGACTCGAGTTGTTTTCTTAGTTTAATACAATGCTGATCAAATAGGAGTTTGGTATCGAAGGCTAAGCCCAAAATTGTTAAACTTTTAACACTTAACTTTTAAGGACGCACCCGAAATGGCTCCCCAGGAATCTATTTCACTTAATACATCTACAAATTTACCTTTAAAAATATTTACATTTTTTAATTTGGAAAAAATAATAACGTCGTCTGCGTATATTGAAAGTTGAATGTCCTTATGTCTACTTAAAATACAATTAAGTTTATCAAAAGCGGTAATAAAAAGAACTACTGAAAGGGGGGAGCCTTGCGGTGTGCCGTTATAGAGACTGTGGGTGTTGGAGGTGTTGTTGTTTACGCGAACTCTGAAGGAAAGATTGGTCATGAAGGCCTTTATAAGATTATAAAGTCTTGGACCAACACCCCAGCGCTCAAGCTGACTAAGTACGGCATGAATCCCCACGCGATCGAAGGCTCTTTCAAAATCAGTAGCTAATATAGCGTTTGACGCGAAGTGTTGAATATGCAACAAGGCGTCCATAGTGCTATGCTTTTGTTTAATGCAACTTGGTTCTGCGAGATCAGGTTATTTCGGGTGATGAACCACATAAGTCGGCGGGCAATAATATTTTCTATAGTTTTTCCTAAACAGGATAGGAGGGAAATGGGGCGGTAGCTGTTGATTTCTGCCGGAGGTTTATTTGGTTTAGGAATTGGGATGACAGTGGCTGATCTCCAACTGTGTGGGTATTTTCCGGAGTTAAAAATTTGATTGTATACTCCTAAAAACCTGGTTTTAAGGGAGAGTGGCATTTCCTTAAGCATTGGGTAGGATATCCTGTCAGCCCCAGGGGTTTTACCCTTTGACCCGGCTAATCCATATTCGATTTCGGCTAATGTAAGGTTTTTTTCTAAGCATTTGGCAAGAGGTGACAGAGCTGTCAGAAGATAGGACTGCGATAAATAGACGTCTTTTTGGTGTACGTATTCGGCTGAAAAGTTACTGTCAGCCGAATAGTTTGACCAAAGATGCCCGAACTCTTCTGCGATATCCTGAGAACCTGTTACGACACCTGAAACGCACTTCAAAAATCGAAACGGCTGTGGTGGTACGCCGGCAAGCCTCTTTACGTCGGACCAAACTTTTTTGGAAGACGATAAAGGGGATATCCTGGAGGTGAAATTTTCAAGACAAGTCCTTTTGGCCACAAGTACAGATTTTATAAAAACTGCATTGGCTCTTTTATAATTTATCAAGTTGGTGTCGGACATTCTGGCTTTATAAACTGCGAACAGCTGTTGCTTTTCATTTCGAAGCCTCTGAAGGTTGTAATTCCACCACGGAACTGAAGCCTTGCGCACAACCCGTTTGGTTAGTGGAATACTGCAGTTGGCTGCGGACCTAATCGCTTTTGTTATTTGTGCCACTTGGTGGTTTAGACAACCTGACTTCCAATCCAACGTTTTTCTTTCTTTTAGGGGAGGGGTAGGGGAGGTACTAAAATGTATTGAAAAATCAATAGATATGGGGAAGTGATCACTACCGTGAAGGTTG